CTCTGGGTAACTAAACAAGAAGTCATGTGTTGAAATAAAGGTCCTGTTACAGCATCAAGGTGGAAACTGTTTCTTAGTACACAGCACGGTTGGTCTTGTCCTCTATGTAAAATACACTGAAATGCAAAAGTTCTCTGCGGAGAGTCTAGACAGCTGAGATTGACTGGCTCCCTGGAACTTTCTGGAAACGTGTTGTTCTGCACACTGAGTTTTCAGAACGGTTAGGGTTCACCCCCCATATTCATGAATGTTCAGAATCCTGCCCTTAACAAAGGGGACAGGGGACAGTTTTCTAGCGCGTGGGTCATGATGCCTTGATGCCTCACCCAGAGTGTGCTGAGCCCGAGGGAGCCTTGCCTGCAGGATTCAGGAGTCTCGGGATTTTCATCAGTGCTCTCACTCTGCTGCACTCTTGGGCCTCTGTGGTGTGTTTGATCCCATAGAAAATCTCCCCCAACGGGCGTGTTTGCTTTGTATTGTGTTTTTATACCATCCCTTCAGCTGTGACCGTTACTTCTCATTCCTGTCTCCACACCAGACCCCAGCAGCCCCTGTCTGCCCTCCATTCTTCTAGTCTTTCCACTCCCTAGAATTCAATAATTCATTTCTTACTAATTTCCCAGTTCTCTGTAGGCTGTTGAACAGACCACCAGCCTTGTTAGAATCCCTTTGAAAACAAGGAGATCCCAGGGTTCTACAGAGAAACAATGCACAAACATTAGCTGGGTAGGAACTTCTGGGCTTCTTTGTATTTTTCAAAAATATGTTCCAGGTAGGTGAGTTAGCCAGACAGCTGAGTTTGTTAAAAGATAGTTAGTTTGTTCAAAACAGAATCCGAATTCACTGGCCTGATGACTCCTGATGTTTTAATTGATAAGGCACACAACTTTCATTTAAAAAAATCTTAAAGAATTTTACAACTGTGAACTGTGACCACGCCCGGAGGTGAAAAGCCGAATTCTGGCAGCAGCTGTACGACATACAGCACCTTAGCCCCCAGCCACAGGTGCGTAGACCAGCATGGTGAGCTTCCCGGGTCTGGACGGTGAAACTTCTGGGAGTGAGCAACGCTGACTTTTATTCAATCTCTCTCAGTCACCGAATAACAGTTCCTCTTTGGTTGTCAACGCGAAAGTAAACAAAATAGTGAAGGTTATTTCCTTAACAAAGAGAACCCCAGTTAGTGGGTGTGAGGGTTAGTTTTGTGTGTCAACTTGACTGGGCAAGGAGGTGCCTAGATATTTGACCAAACATTATTCTGGGTGTTCCTGTAACAGTGTCTCTGGATGAGATTGGCATTTGAACGGGTAGACCAAATAAAGCAGATTGCCCTCCCTAGCGAGGGTGGGCCTCATCCAATCAGTTGAAGATCTGCGTAGAATAAAAAAGTTAACCCTCTCCGCCCAGTTAGGGAAGATTCCTAAACTTGAACTTGCTGGTCTTCAGACTAGAACTATGACATCGGTTCTCTTGGATCTTCAGCTTGCCCACTCACCCTGCAGATTTTGGGATGTGTCAGATTGCATAATCATGTGAAGAATGAGCCAATTCCTTACAATAGATCTCTCTCTCCATATACACATATACTAAAGATAATATATATAATGTACAGGGTGGGGCAAAGTAGTTTTACAGTTGTTCATATAGAGAATGAAAATGAAGACAACTGTACTTGAACAACAATAAAAATATTAAAAAAGAATACAATAGTTAGTAAGTAATAACACAGGAATAAACCGTGTTGTACGTACTCACAACTGTAAACCTACTGTCACCCAACCATGGACATATCCCACTGGTTCCGTTTCTCTGGGAACCCTGACTTGTAAGTACAGTGGACAGATTCTAATGTCCAGTAATTAAGAAAAAAAAAATAACCCCAAAGACCTGTCACTTCTCCCACAGGAAAATTCCCTTTTGGAAGGCTTGACTATACACAATTCATTATAAAGAATTTTGGATTTCTAATGACCAGAGAGAATCAAATTTCAATGTTGAAAAAAATTCCAGCACTGAGGTCTTAAATTTCTGGAAGATAGGTGCTATGCCAGTTTTGCTTTGCAATTCTAGTACAGTGAATAGCGAGGCAGAAATGAACAATTCTCAATGCAGCGACCTTCTCTGATGGGGAGGTAAGAATGATGGCAACCAATCAGCCTTGAGAAACTAGTGTTGTCGTGATAATGCAAACAACGTAATAAATGGGGCAATCGGAAGTGGTAGAATTTCTTGATTTAAGTCCGAGCTGAATAGAGATCCTCTCTTCTTGCTGGTATGACAAAGAAGTGGCTCATTCAGCATTGACCTTGGGTCCAGCTTTTTTATCTCTGTTCTGGACCTTTACCCTAATCTTCTCTTCCCGCCTTCCAGGCTTCTTCCCAGCATCAGTGCTAAACACAAACCTCTTCTATATCTCAACTCCACCTCATCCTTGATGGGTCTGATTTTCTATTGCCCAATAAAGGAAGGGGGTGGAGCTATGCCTTCTCTGGCAGCCAAACATCTCAGGTCCTTGCTTTAGGCTCCACCTCCCACATCATCCACTACCCAGCATGGACTACACAGCTCCTACCCAGAAGATGTTCTTTCATCCTGGGTGCTGGCCCATCGTTTCTGGGGGCTGGAGCCATCTGTATGGTGACACTTGCCCATTTGGCGTTTATAGCAGTTTTGTGTTGATGGCACTGGAGAAGCCAGCCTGTACTGTTGTCTTTTGCCATAAAGATAACATTAACAACCTCTTTTCATCTCTGAACTTGAACATGGCTGAAAACACAGCAGTGCAACTTGCTTGTTACACATGGATGTTGTCTGCATTCACTAGTTTAGAAGCTTTGCTGTCATCTGTGGAAATTGCCAGCGTGCAGAGCTCTGCTTCCTGTCCTTGAAGACCAGCGTGACATTTAGGCTCAATGGAGTCCCTGTCATGGGTTGCCACACAAACCCTGGTGCTGTCATTTCCTGGTGGTGAACAATTACTCCACATTGCCTCAGGATGCTCTCCCAGCGTCCTTGTGGCGGCTGAACCAGTTCTCAAAAAGCAAATGGACAGCTAGCGTCAGTCTTTTGGAGAAAATGGGCAAGAACAAAGCCAGTGTGGTTTATCGGAAATAAACCTAGGAGCATAGCTACACTATTCTGATAGTACAGGAACTGGCCCCCACCCACTCTCCACTTAGTTGTCACACTCCTACACGTATGTGACTTCCTGCCCTTCCCTACCTAACACTATGACGTGGGAAAGATGACAGCAGTTGTCTCAATTTTTCCATAACCACAGACCAGCCTGGCCACATAACACCATCTGTCTACTGGACACCACCGCAAACTCTCAGCCACCCAGATAATCAGCTGTCTTTCTAGATTTTTTTCCACTGATGTGCATGGTGTTCTTGGCCATAACCCGAACTTTCAGTACCTCACTTTCTGCACTATGTACATGAATTTAATAATGACCAAGCCGAGTTGAATTCTGCATCCTTAGGACACAAGGTGTTACACTGGTGCAAAATAAATTTCTTCAGATGCATAACAGAAATAACTAAACCTTAGTAATTCATGAAGTATCTAATATTTATTTAATGTCTGGTTTGTGTACAGCATGGTGCTATGTGCTTGTTGTGAAGGTTTAGCAACAGAATACATAGATTTCTCAGAAAATTTGTGCCTTTGAAAAGTTAACAACCATAGTTATTTCATATTTTAAGTGACAAATGCCTATTCAATATTTGGGAGGTTTTTTTTTTTTTCTCTAAAGTAGGAATTTAAAGGCACCAAAGAGATGAAAAGTGAGTGACTTCATTCAGATTTCAGGTTTTGGAAGGACTAAATACTATGTTGGTAATAAACAATGAAGCGCTTTCTCAGCCGTATTCCTCCCTGTGTAAGTGAATTAAAGACAACTGTTAGAATCTCTAATTTCACAGGCCTCTGAATTCTATTCTGCGCATACTGCCACAATTAAATGATTTCTGAATTTTTTGTTGCTTTCCCTTTGGCACCGAGTCTCATTTTGCCAAGTATCTTAGCAGAGAATTCATTTCTGTAGGCCAACACATTTGTGTTTAGCAGACGCAGCTCTCTGCTAATAACCCTCCTGTCTTCACACTAGTGGTTTTTAAATTGTTCAGGATTTTAGAAACACCATAACCTCAGCATATTAAATATTAAGGGGCTCCAGATTCCCAGAGCCTTAAAGTTAGGCGATGCAAATCCGCACGAGTGTGTTTCCATGGTGCCGAATAAAAGTTATGGCAGGGTTCTGTGGAGCAGCATTACTGTGAGCGTCACTCCTGCCACTGCCTTTCACAAGGGCCCACTTGCAGTGAAATATTTTCAAAACAGAGCTGAAGTGGAGATAACGCAGAGCGCGAACAGGCGGAAATAAGAATAAACTGAGCGTGTCTGGCAGAAAGCGGGAGGTTGGCAGTTTCTGCAAAGGAAGAGGATGCGTGGTAAACAGGGAGGGAAAAAAAAAACCACTTGGGGGCTGTTCTTTAGAGACCTCTGGAGGTCGTTTCCCTCGCCCCTCGGGTCGGCGGAGGTCCCCGGAGCTGAGGAAGCAGCCCCCCCAAACCGTTTCCGGGCCTGCAGCCTCTCCCCGCACGCCCCCAGGGAGCTGTGCCTTCTCAGGCCACGATTCCCCGCGACCCAAAAATAACTGCACAGATGTAAGGAAAAGGGCCAAAGCTTGCGGCACGGGGGTGGGGTGGGGGGTGCTTAGTTACGGCCTTATCGCTGACAGCCAGAAAGCTGGAAACCTAACCCAGCGCCAGGCTTTTATAGAGGGTCCCTGGAGCCCCGCCCTAGCAACTTTCCCTAGCAACGCCTCGCCCTGGTGCTCCGCGGTCTTATCGGCCTTCTCCAGGCTCTTCCGGTTCCCCTCCCGCTGCCAGCTCGCCTCCGCGGCCCTGATCACGTGGTTCACCCCAGGGGGCGGGGCGAGAGGGAGACCCGGGGGCGGGGCGATGACGCCATCAAGAGGCGCCGGGTGGAACAGTAGCGATGCTTAGGCACCGGGAATCGCAGTTTCCGGGACTCGGTGAAATGGCGGAGGCGGTGGCTCTGGTGTGGGTTCGCGGTCCCGGCTTCGGCTGCCGGGCGGTGCGGGCTTCCTTGGCCCCCTGCTCCGTCCAAGATTTTATCCACCGCCATTTCCAAGATCAGGTGAGATTCGCGGTTCTGGGAAGGAAGGGGAAGGGGACAGAATTGGGTGCGGAGAGGACTGTTCTTGGAGGTTTTCAGGCTGAGGGCTCCTCAGTTTTAAGGTACTTCAAACTCATGCTGAGGCCTTCCTTTGCTTTTGTTTTGGGTGTTGGTTGTTTTGTCATCTCACAGAAAGGGGGAAACTCCACTCCCAGACGCCTAGTCCAGCCCTCAGTCTGGCGTAACAGAAGACACTTTGGTATTGTTTTTTATTTTTGTTTTTTCACCCGTAAATGAGGCAACTGGACCAGATGACTTTTAAGGCTCTTTTCCTTACATTTAGTTACATTCATTCTATGGTTATGTAAGGTGCATTTTGTCCACCGATCGAACATTCTATTTAGCCTAGAGAAGTATGTCATCTAAACCCAGGCAAAAGGATGGTTGACGAGGGAAGTAGATTCATCTGGTCACTCACTGTTTGGGACTGCCAAACACACACACACGTGACCTGTTGGGGGCATGAGTTCTTAGGGCCTGTCATTTAGACGTTTTCACGAATCATTTGATGGTCTCTTGTCAGTGCATATTTTTGAAAACCTATCATGGACTTTCAAAGTAACATGTGTAGTTTCCTTAATTGTCAAGCAAACAAACTTTTGCCAACTAAGGTATTAAACCCGTTCAGTTATCTAAAGAATGGGGGGTGGTCTCTCTGAATCTGAATTTAATGTTGGCACTTGATCACGTATTGTTTCTTTATAACCGTACCTTGTCCTTGCTTCCTTAGGCTGTTTTCTCTGCTTCTTATTTATAAGTTTAATCCATGTTACCACAACAGTCCCAACCAAACCTGTGCTTGGGCTGCTTCCATGTAGAAGCAGTGTGTGTTTGCAAATAATGTGGTTTTTCAACTTCTCCTTCAATTATTTTTTTCCACACTGCAAGCCAGTCTGAAAACTGTCAGAACTGTTTTTGACCCTCTAAATGGGGAAATCTTTTCCAAGATAATAGGATTTTAATATCTCTGAAAGTAATTTTTATCTCGTGAGTATTGTTTTCAGACTTAGTGACAGTTGATCAAAGGTGAGACCAGAAAGAAATGGATCTTAATTATGAGGACTATGGGGGAAAATAATTTTTTATTAAAAAAAAAGAAATATAAATGAATGGATTCAGCTAGGTACTTAAGAAACATGACCTTAACAAAAATGAACAGGAAACATATAAAAGGGTGCTTGATTAGATACTAGAACAAATAAAAATAGCTCAGGTTCACACCCTTGCTTTTTAAAACAAAACAATTCTGACACATGGTAAAGATAGTGGTATCTCCCTGCTGTTTATCTGGCAGGGATAACGGACTCAGATAAAGCCAACTGCAAGGTTGACAGGAAACAGTTTCTCCCAAGGACATGGGGGTAGCGGTGAAATATCGTAATGACTCCCTTGAAAGTCTGCCTTATTCACTGGGTGACCTTGATCTCCAAAATCACAGACTATAAGAAACTTTGTTGTTTGAAATTGTATTTCTAAAGTATTAAGCATCCCACCCTTGCCTGAGAATCTGTCACTTTGATAAAGGGCAGCACGCTTGATTTCCAACCCAGGTGCAGGGGCTTCAGATAAGGGGTTAGTGACACAGCATTCCACGTTTATCTTTGTGGTTTTTGAGGAAACCAAAGCCTGGGTCTGCTTCTCGGCCTAGGTGTGATGTTTCCCCTTTTTCTATAGCTCTGCTTTGTTTTGAGTCCTTCAAAACCACTTTGATTTAAATTTCACCTAACTCCACCCTCCCCCTAGTCTTTTAATATCTGTCTTTGTTATTGTTGTTGAGACATTTCCTGATTCCTCCCACTGTGCAGGCGCCCTCCCCGAAATGAGTCTGTAAACTTGACTTTGATAGACTACAGGTTTGTCTCTGGTGGCCCTAGGCACATTGGGTGTCTCTGAGACACACCTAACACTTTGTGCTTGAAGTGCTTTATAGCACACAAATGGTTAAAAATAGTTACATTGATGCTAATTATTCTTTTTTTAAATTTTATTTAGTTATTTTTCAAGTACAGTTTTTTGTGTATTTTTCCCATCCCAGCCTCCCCCCCCCTTGCTCCCCACCTCCCTCCCATGCAAATTATTCTTTGTTCTTTTCTATTAGGTTGTTAATTAAAAAGAAGCTTAACAAGTAGAAAGTGCAATTTTGTTGCTCAGTTGTCTTGTTCAGTAGGCAGTTCTGTTTGGAAATGAACCATGGTTTTCCTGCCTTACAATGTCTTTTAAAGTTATTTAGAATTTTGGGAATACCATAGCCATGCGGAATATAAAATAGTAAAAACTAAAGTAGCTTTTAAGTTATGCACATTGAACAAATATGAGGTGTATTGCATATCTTATTTAATCTTTACAGCAGCCCTTTAAAGTAGCTAGTATTTGGCAGACAGAAGTCCTCCATATTAATTGTATCAGTGCACATAGCCTGAGCTTCCTTGCTCCTCTTTCCTGCTCTCCCAGTTTGCCTGGGAAAACTGCAGTCAGTTTAAATCAGTTGACTTAATCCGCTGAAACAGTTTTTTGGTGAAATAGCGAATCACCCAGGTGACTCAGCCCCTCTACAGCCCAGATTTGATGCCCTATGACTTTTGGCTTTCCCCAAAACTAAAGTCACCTTTGAAAGGGAAGAGATTTCAGACCACCAGTGAGAGTCAGGAAAACACGAGGGGGCAACTGATGGCGATTGGGAAAGCTGTGTGAGGGCCCAAGGTGCCTACTTTGAAGGGGACCGAGGTGTCGGCGTCCTGTGTACAATGTTTCTTGTATCTTGTATCGTCAATAAGTGTCTCTTATCTTTCATAGTACGTGGCAGGATGGACAGCCCTCATATGATTTGTTCATTACCTACCTGTCTTGCCCCGTTAGAATGTGAGCTCCATGAGTCAGGATCTGCGTTCACTATATTATTCACTGTAGTGTCTTAACACTTGAAAAGTACCTGGCAAATAGTAGGCACTTAATATTTGTTGAATGAATGAATGGTTCCCATTGAAATAGCTGTGTGGTATGGTTCAGAATGTTCATAGATTCCACTTCAGGAAGAGACCGGTAATGTATTTGTCCTTCTACTGGTATTGAGATCTCTTCATTCTTGACACTGTAAATTTAATCGTATACCTCCTAAGTCCCATGTAACTTTGCGGAATTCTCCTCTACTGTCTTAATTTTACAGCATCAGAAACTTGTTCAGAAAGGCTTATTGTTTTTACAGTTTCTTTTCATCCCTTGATCTGAGGGTTTTTGAAATACACAGAGTGGGTTTGGGGGCAATCGGGTTTCTGCAGTGGGCGGCTGTGACTTGGGCGGATGCTAGTGGAAGAGACAAGATCTTGTCCTGAAACTGTTAAAGCATGTGCAGTTGTATTAAAAACCATACCGTAGCTCTGTTCCCCCCCTTTTGTCCTTCTACTTAGACTTTTCAGGATGTATATTTTCACTTTTAAACTTGGGGGCCACTTGAATTTGCCCTTTTGGAAAAGTCAGGAAATGTGCGTAGGGCCTCCAGAGTTACCGCGTCTGTGCCCTTTATAGCCTGTCGTGACTCTGACCTGCTATTAGAGAAGAAGAAAGAAGCAATTCCTATTTTCATCCAAAAGATGAAAAGTTCTGGTATATATCGTGATTAGGTATCAGGAAAAATTGCACCCAGAATACGTCATGCGAAATGACTTTTTTTCTTTTAGTGGTTTTCATTTTCAATTAGACAAATATTCATTGAACTCACACTACCTGCCTGTTCCTGGAGTGATACAAGGGTAATAAGCTAGGACCCTTCCTACAAGGAACTTGTAATGTCTCATAAGCAGCATTTTAAAAACCCCGTTTGTCCCCAGGATGTCCCCGCAGAATGCTTCTTTGTGAAGTGCAACGGACTGCTCGTCGACGCCGGTGACGCAGTGCAGCATGGGGCTGTGTACAGTCTGGAGCCCAGGCTTCGCGGTGGGAAAGGAGGTGGGTCGTGGACGCAGCTGCCTGCTTAGCTGTGACACCCCTGCAGTCTGTAGCCAGTGCATTAAGTTAAAAAACTCCTGGGTTTCTGCGGTACGCCAGCCTTCTGCTGTGCCTTACCGAATCCTTTATTTTCTTACCTGGTTTTGAAGATCTTCTCTTTTGTTCTTTTTGAGGAAGATACTTTGTGATACTGTTCCCACCTTCTCCAGCTGGATAGCTCTGAGGCGTCCTAGGCGCTAAAAGCTTTGGGGAAGATTAGATGAAGAGAGATGGTCATCATCATTCTGTCCAATCTGCCAAGGAAAGTGTAAAAACAATGAAATCTACTTTTATCAACATTTGGTCTCATTGTATTTCCCGGGGAGGTCCAAAGTCACTGTGAAATACAGCTGTGTTGTTTATTGGGGTAGGTTAAGGTCTTGGTTATATTAACACATCTTATGGAAAGAGAAGAAACTAGACTAGTAAAGACTGAACATGAGCAGTTGTAGTCTTTCTCCTGATGCACTAAAGTGCAGTCCCTAAGCTTTCTCAAAATCTACAGTGATTTGGTTGGTTTTCAGAGAACTGATATCTCAGATCATAATCATCCTGCTGTTTGCAACTATGTCAGTGAGAATGAAGTTTGTCATATCAGGCAGTGACGCTTAAAATTGCCTTTTAAAACTCACTATAAAGTCTCACCATATACTTTTTAAAGCCCTTAACTTGGGAATCTTGTGTTTTCTGGCCCTATGGAAAGCCCTGTAGAGTAGCTTCAGTGGTGCAGGTAAAATAGTTCAGAAATACAAGAGGGAGCACGAGAAGCAGGAGGTGGAATCAGGTTGGAACCCTTGCACCCTGGGTTCCAATCTTGATGTTCATTTCCTTCATTTAAAAAAGAAAAGAAAAGAGAAAGATCTCCGACTGGTGTGGCTCAGTAGGTCGGGCATCCTCTCGTGGACCAAAAGGTTGCCAGTTTGATTCCTGGGCGGGACACATGGCTGGCTTGTGGGCCACGCCCCCGGTTGGGAGGCGTGCGAGAGGCAACCAGTAAATGTCTGTCTCTCTCTTTTTCTCCCTCCCTTCCCCTCTCTCTAAAAATAAATAAATAAAATCTTTAAAAAAACCCAAAAACTAGAGATCACCTTCAACCTTGTGATAGATTACTGTTTTCACAAGTTTGGCATTTGGCCTCCTCGAGCACTTTTGAACTTGCCTTGTCCAAATATATTTGCTCAGGTTTCGGGTCTATGCTCAGAGCGCTCGGTGCTCAGATTGAGAAGACAACCAATCGAGAAGCTTGCCGGGATCTCAGTGGAAGGAGACTACGAGATGTCAATCATGAAAAAGCGTAAGATGCCATTTATTTGTGTGTGTGTGTTTTTTTTTTTTTTAATTTAAGAGAGAAACAGACTTTTCTACCAGTGGTGATTATATACGTGCCGTGCATATCAGAAATGTAAACTTGAAATATTTGTGCTCTAATATGTTGTTATCAGGTATTACCTTTTCCATAATATAATTACTTTTGGGTCTTAGTTAAGTCCATTCCAGTATGTTAGTAGTAAGCGTGGCACAGTTTCTGAGGGAATGTCACAGTATAAGCAAGAGTGCCATCTTGGCTGGTGTGCCCCAATGGATTGAGGGCCAGCCTGCAAACCAAAGGGTCGTTGGTTCAGTTCACCGTCCGGGCACATGCCTGGGTTGCAGGCCAAATTCTCAGTTGGGGGCATGTGAGAGGCAACCGATCAATGTATCTTTCACACATCCATGTTTCTCTCCCTCTTTTTCTCCCTCCCCCTCTCTCTAGAAATAAATAAAATCTTTGTTTGAAAAAAGAGGGCGTTAGTTTGTTGGGGGAGCATGTATATAGATGCAAATATCCATTCGGTTACATGTCTTTCTCTCCCATCCCCAGAATGGCCGAATGGGTAAAACAACAAGCGGAGCGAGAAGCTGAAAAGGAGCAGAAGCGCCTGGAGCGGCTGCAGCGGAAGCTCGCAGAGCCCAGGTGCTGCTTCGCCAGCCCCAGCTACCTGCAGCAGTGCCACGAGCTGGCCGAGCGTCTGGAGGACTCCGTCCTCAGAGGTGAGGGTCGGGCTTCCTTGGTGCGGCTGGCTGACACCCCCAAAGCCGGCTGTTCCAGACCGTTCCGAGCTGCACCCAGACAGCAGTTCTTCAGCTTTGTATCACTGACCTCTGAGAATCTGCTGGAAGCCGTAGAACCTCCCCCCTCACTGTTGAGCACAGTATGTCTCCCAGCCTAGGGAGAAAAGACAACAGACCCACACAGCGTATTAGTGCACTTGCCGCCTGAATTTCGTGGACCCCGGTTAGAACACTGGATGTGCTTTGTGGGGGTAGGTTAAGTCTTTAGGAGGTGCCTGGACCCCAACATATGTGCTTCCAGTTTTAGGTCCGTTTTTTAAATGGTTTTAAAGAACAGCAATTGTCATGAACTTTCATTCGAGTCCGGAACATTATGCTGGGTCTGTTGCAGGTGCAGTTGAGTGAGAAGGACTCTTTCCCATCACAGAGGTTACAGCACCACAAGGGAGCAAGTCATGAGCACGGGGAGACGCAGTGCTGCGCTCGGGGAGGGCTGGGTTCGAACCGGTAGCCTCGAGGTTCACAGATGGGACACTGGCGCCTACCATTCTGGCTGCAGAGCCGGAAGGCTTCTTATTTTAAATCTGTAAATTTGAGATTCATTTCATTATAGCCGTATTAAATTTTGATATCTTCAGAAATTTAAATTTAGAGCTTTAGATTGCAGCTGTTTTGCAGTCCAAATTACTTATCATTTCTTTAGTTAGACTTAGTCCTGATGGTAGATGCGAGCTGTTAAAATGTCTGGTCAGGTATGCAGGCTGCCTCCAGCAAGGTGGTGTCGGTAGAACTCGGCGAGACTCGGAAACGGCCCAGCATAGCAAAAGCAGATGGAGGGACCAGTGCAGCGAAGAGGAGGTGCTTCTGGTAAGTGGGTTCCTTTTTCGTTCCCAGTGGATCTTTGGGGACTGGCAGGATGTGTTTCCTTCGTGCCTGTTTGATGGGTGCTCAGAAATGTCCTGGGTGCTTCAGCCTTCAGAGGTCTGCTGTGGGTGCCATTAACAGAGTCTAAAGGACAGCATTTCTCCTTACAGCGAAATATCTCAAAAATTGCTTTATACTTGAGTTACTATTTGGTGTCAAAAGAGTTAACTTTCCAAAATCCCCGGTGGAGATACCGGGGCTGTACCTTCCAAGCGGTTCTGCTTTTCTGGGGTTTTCTCGGTCATCACTGAGGTCTGCGGCCACTTTGCCAGACCCGTCCACCCACCTTGCACTCGTGGGTCAGGGGCACGTCAGCACCTGTTCTTGCCCGTTCTTCTGGTAGCTCTCCTGCCCCTCCCACTGGTCCCCCAGTTACCAGCTCGGCTCCCTCAGGCCACGTTCTGGGTAACTCCAGGTAGATCGTGCTTCCTTGTAGGCCTCTGCTGTGGGGACAGAAGGCTCATTATTAACCAGAGATCACCCTAAAAATTTCCTATGTGTCCCTTTGTGGCTAATTCCCTCCCCCGCCCCCTCCCCCGGCGACCACTGATCACAGGTGCAGTGTTTGTCCCTGCGGTTCTGTCTGTTCCCAGATGGCAGGTAGCCTTCTGTGTCTGGCTTCCCTCACTTCCCGGAGTGCTTTTGGGCTCCGTCGGCGGGATTATGTGTGTCAGTAATTCATTCCTTTCATTGCCAAGTGTTACTGCACAGTGGGGCTGTTCCCAGTTGTTTATCCATTTCCAGTTGGATAATATCTAACAGTTGAAATCCAGGCAGCATAGGGAAAAAAGCTTTAAATAAAATCCGTTTGTTTTACGAGAGTCACAACTTTAAAAAGGAGATCCTCTTGAATCCTTGGAGTGGTTGTTGGTTCCAGTGTTGTTGAATTTTTTTTCCTTCTGCTCATGCTTCTGGAATATCTTTTTCTGAAACTTACCTACTTTGCTAGCTGGTACTTGTATGCAGTGAGAGTCTGATCCCTGAACAGACTGCAGCCCCCTTTTCAGTAGAAGTTGTGAATAGTACCGACCCGTCCTGTTGTGTCTGGCAGGTTGGGCACGGACGGCCTGGAGGCGGCGGAGGGGTCCGGCTCTGAAAGCTCGGACGATGACAGTGAAGAAGCACCCGGAACTTCAGGAACGAGCTTCCCTGTTCCAAACAGTGGCAGTGGTGGCGCTGCGATGGCCGCCGAGTTTCCCGGTAGTTCTCAGAAGGTGAGAGTGTTCAGTGCAGACTGTAGCTCACCAGAGAAACCGCAGAGCCGTGTGGCCGGCCAGCGGGATGGAACTGCAGGAGGCGCGTGCGCTCAGCCGGGAGAGGCAGCTGCCGAGCAGCCCGCGGAAGGGAAGGTGGAGACACACACAGAAAAAACCCAGGAGGAAATGGAGGCGGAGAGCAGAGGACCTGTGGGTGAGGAAGCAGCTGGGACTGGACTGAATGAAGAGGGAGAGACAAAAGAAATAGCCCAGGGGGAACGAGCTGCCCAGACAGCGCCCGGAGAAGAGAGGGGAGACGCGCGCCCTGCCAAACTGGAGGAAAGCCAGTCAGGAAGCACGGTAAGTCGTTTTGGGGGGCTGTTGCCTAACGCGAAATCAGTTTAATCTCCACAGTCAGTCATGAAAGTGAAAATGGGCTTTTCCCCGTCAGCTGCTTAGTGCAAAGCTTGTTTCATAGTCAGCAGTGAAGTACAGATAGATGATGGTTAAGCTGGCCCGGCCCCTCAAAATACTTTGATTTTTTTTTTTTAGCTCCAGAATTTATATATTTTTGCCACTAGGTGGTGTCCTTTCATTAATTCTGAGGTGTGTTTTTTAGTTTTTAATCTCTGAATTTGGATGTGTGTCACATTAGAGCATAATTGTACTATGTATTCTTTTTTAGTGACATACACAATAGTGAGGCATATTAAGGTAGGTGGTGCTTTAGACTCGGTGAAATGTACTCATTTTCATATAAGACTGGTTGCTCAGTGTTTATCCTGTGATGATATTTGAACACACTTGTCAGCTGATGTGAAGATTTTCACTATAGAAGAGGAACAGCTCATTTTTAACTTATCATTAAACCTTTACATCCCATGTTTAGCCTTTTAAACGTTTATTTTCATTGTACGTATTCTCCCTCTAATAGTTGATTATTTGCCGTCTTCAATGAACTGACTTCCAGAAAAAAATCTTTAGCGTTTACTCTTTGACTTAATGATCTGCTTTTCACAGCAGATAAAACTCGAACAACTTGGTTTCCTTTAATAAGAAGCCCATTATTTGTTTAAGCAGCGCCTCCCTTACCCCCAGTAAAGAAGCAAACATTCAGATCGCCTCTTCTGGGGGGCGGGCAGTGGGGTTCTCTGCATTAAGGGCTGTCAGTCGACCGCCACACCTTCCCCGGAGTTACAACATGTAACTTTTACGTTACTCGTATATATTGGGAGCTCTGTCCTGACCAAAGTCTTGGAAAAATGAATAAAGGAAAATGATGTAAAACCTGATTTGGCTTTCAGTCCCGGAGCCTTTAACCACGGAGCGTTTTGTTGTTGACCTTGAAGTAGTAGCTGTTGTGCTCAGAACAACCAGGAGTGATTCTCCAAAGATGCTTAAGTGGTATTTTAGGATTTGGCCACAGTAGTGAAGCCAAACAAGGTTTTCCTCAGAAATATAAGAAAGTGGCTTAAAAAAAATTAAGTAGAAAGATAAAAAGTCTGTCCCTAGCTCTCTTTAGTATCTAAAAAAAATAAGTTATTATGAGAAAGTTACTGCTGTTTGAAAACCCTTGGATGTGCCCATGTCCACCCGTCGCAGACCATCCGTCATCGGAAGTGTTAGTTTTGTCTCACAGTCTGTAGAGGTTCTCGGTGGACAGAACAGTAGCAGGGCTCTTGAGCAGCATCTGGACTCGTTCTGTGAGTGGGGACTTGGACAACAGTCTGAGGTACTCAGAGGAGGAAGCATCAGGAGTGTGGGGTTGATGGGTTCGCAGGCCTGGGAACCTCTTTACAGTTAAGCTTTACTGGGAGCTGCTCTCTTCTGTGGTCAGAGTGTGGGGGTAGGTCAGGTATCTTTTCTTATTTTAATTGTTATTGGAAAAATCAGGAAAGAATGTCACGTAACCATGTGTGTATATTAAGACTGTCCAGGAATCCTGTAACTTCTGTTACTGTTCCGAATGCTCGTTTCTAAATGTATAGATGGGAAATGAAGGGTTATTATGCGTCTTGAGGATGTATGTGGAAAAGCATTTAGATGATTATTGAAATGCAATAGCGAGAGAAGGCAAAACAGCGGAAAATTCCTTGAGAAATAGAATGTAGTTGGCAATTAAAGCCTTATTCAGAGAAAGAAAAAGAAGCCTGTTTTAAATTTTTTTTTTCTTTTTTCCCCCTCTCAGGCTGTTGATCAAGAATCTCTAGATTTGCTGGCCTTCACCTCTGCTGCAGAAATGGAGATGCTGGGTCTGGAGAAGCTCAAGTGCGCGCTGGCGGCCCTGGGGCTGAAGTGTGGGGGGACCCTCCGGGAGCGGGCGGCGCGGCTCTTCTCGGTCAGGGGCCTGGCCAGGGAGCAGATCGACCCGGCCCTGTTTGCCAAGCCTTCCAAAGGGAAGAGGAAATGAATTCCGTCCAAGCTCATTTCCTAGTTCTTTCCAGTCTGGCATTCACGACCTGCATAATTTGGCTCTCGGCCATTATTCCTGTTGATACTCAAGCTGATCTTTTTACTTTTTTTTGGAGAATTTTTATGAGTTTGAGTCAAACTGGAGACACAGGCCAGGGAGCAAGATCTCAAATGCTCCCAGAGTTGACTTTTTACTAACCCAGTTCCAAGTGTCCTCTTTCCCCATTATTACATTTATGGGATTGATGTGTGAGATCACCTGGGCCTGACGTTTTTTGTGGGAAAGTTTTTTAATAACAAGCTTAACTTAATAAACGTAAAGCTGTCAAGATGTTCCGTTTCACTTTGTGTCATTTAGGTGCGTTACATTTTCCAGGAGTTCATCTGTTTGACCCAAGCTGCAGACTCGTGGACGTCTGTAGAGCCTGCAGTGGTAACTTCGGGAGGGAGAGATCGGTTCCCTGCACAGTGATCTCGGGGAGTCTCTGTTCACGTACAGGCGTGGTTACCGCAAACAGCCAGTCAGAGGAAGGTCTTGGGCAAAGCGGGGCAGTAAGTAGTCATTTCAGAAATTGCATGGCTATTCAAAGAGATCACAGGGCTTAAAAGTCTTAGAGAAAGAAAAACATTTTCTGCGATGCCGCAATTTGCCAGCTGTAGGCTCCAGCAGGTGGGAATTTGTAAGAGAGAGGAAAATAAATACACAGGCTCAAATTCGGCTTAATCCGTCAGAGCGGTATGGACTGTTTGATCTTAGATGTCCACAGAAAAAGGCTGTTTCAAAAAAGAAGTGTATTTATTTTAATCTTCACCTGAAGATGGATACACACACACACACATTTTTATATTTTTTAAATTGATTTCAGAGAGAGAGGAAGGGAAAGAGAAACATCAATGTGAGAAACATGCATACCGACCAGGGATCGAACCCGCAACCCAGGTACGTGCCCTGACTGGGAACTGAACCCACAACCTTTTGGTCCACAGAATGACGCTCCAACCAACTGAGCCACCTGGCTAGGGCTACTTCACTGGTGATGGCTTTTGTTCTCTATTTTCCTGGAATCTCCTCTTCTTTGTGTTGAATCTGCTCTTTGCCACTGTCCTTGATTTGTCAATACAGCAGTTGGGTTTTCCCTTAAAAAGTCTTTCTCTCAGATTCGTCCCTCCTCTTCTGTTTTGTGGGTGTGTCCCCTTGAAACTTGGTGTGTATGTGCCTTAAGGACCTTGTGTACCTTCAGTTTCTCTTTCGTAGGGACACATTTCCTCGAATTCTTCAAATTGACTTCTTTACAATTATTTCTTTTTTAAGTGTGTCCGCATGTGGTGAGTTTAGACCTTCTAGGACGGGATTAGATGTACAAGGGTCTTTTGAGAGTCATTGCAGAGGACAGAGCCTGGAAAAGCAGGATTGACACCCACGGAAGGAGAGGGAAGAGAGGACTGTGCAGGAAGTCTCGGGCTGCAGTGGAGTTACAAGGAAGTTTCAGCAAGAGGGATGGAGGGTCCCCAAACCCGTCATCCATTGGGTCCAGCATCTCATGGGGATGCGCCTGCCTTAGGACCTCCACTGTGCTCATTGGCTAGAAAGGATGGCCTGGGCGTGAACTGAGTGGACCCAGAGGGGCCACCGGTGGGACCGTCAGTCAGCTGTGGTCCCCACAGTGGGGGGTCTGAGGGTGTATGTTCACGGCTGCCCCAGGATGCTTCCCTGTTGCCTAGGATTACTGTTCTAGTTTGGGCGTTTGAGAACAGTTTTCTTCACGTGATGCGGCTATCTGTACAAATCTTAAAAAGCACGCTCGAAGGGGAAGGGGAACGTTTAGATGGAGGAAGTTTTACCTTGTGAGATCAGAGGTTTTTTTTTCACTAGCGGGAGATTCGTGCTCAAGGCGCCTCTCTTGTGGCAGTGAGCTGCTGGCCACATCGGCGCCCCTTTCCTAACTGGCACCATTAGCGCCTTCCGCACGCCAGCCCCAGCCGTGCCCTGCGGCACTCAGAAGAGTGAGCGGCCCTCGCCCAGCTCCCCACAGGCAAGTGGACTTGGACTGGCAAAGTAGAAAGACTGTCATTCTGCAGCGGCTTCTTGTAACATGAAAGGCTGGAAGTGAGGAGGCTCGCACTGGACACAGACTGGCCGTCTCGCCAGCTTCACGTGCGGCTGCGGCTGGTCCGGCCCTCGCTGGGCTGCGCGCAGGGGTGTTAATGGGCTTCTGCTGTGGGTCCGTTTCGTTTACTGACTCTGCGGAGGTGGCAGCCTTGCTCCGTCCCCAGTTTTCGGTGCTAATACGGAGCTTCCTTGTTACGTTACTTTGGTCATTTCAATGGACGTTGGCAAGAGAGAGTTAAATAGATGTACTTGGATTTCCGCCTTGAACCACAGCCTGTCAGGGGGCTCTTGAGGTGGAAAGTGCCCCCCAGAAGGTCCAGGAACTGAACCCCCAGCATTAACAGTTCTGGGTGGGCTCTGATCAAGGTTAGGGAGCTACTGCCCATCAGACTTCATGGAACTACTTGTGCGTCTGGACTAGAACACGGGAGAGGCTGCTGTGGGGGCCAGGTGGTAGTGTGTTGTCGCACAGGCCCTCCCCGTGAGCCGCTGCCCACCGCCGACCTGTTCTGGGGGGACGCCGGACTCTGAGCCCTGCCAGTGGAGAGCTGATGTGAATTTTTAAATGCTGTCCTGCTTAATGTCCTGCTTAATGTCACCTTTTTTTCATCTGGTCCCCACTGGAGAACAGGGACTAACGGTGCCGGATGAAACGAGCCTACTCCACACCATGTCCGGGTCACCGGTTCAGGGTCACCCCAGGAATTTGAGGGCCCCCGGGTGTGGCCTGGAGTCACAGGACACTGGTGGGTTGAATCCAAACGTTGGCGGTGGCACGACATGACTTCCGTTTCCCTGGAAAGCAGGCCGTGCAGTGCGGTGGGTTTGAGGGCAGGGGCTGTGCAGGCGCCGTCCTGGGCCCTAATCCTGGTGTTCTCCACTTTTTTGTTTTTAGATTTTATTTATTTATTTTTTTAGCGAGAGGGCAAGGGAAGGAGAAAGAGAGGGAAAGAAACACCAGTCAGTTGCCTCTCATATGTGCCCCCACTGGGGACGGAACTCGCAACCCACTCGTGCTCTGACGGGGAATCGAACTGGCGGCCTTTCACTTTGCGGGTCGATGCCCAGCCACCTGAGCTGCACTGGTCAGGGCTCCCACGTTCTAACCGTTCTAACCGTGTTTTCTCGGTCAGGTCCCATCACCTTCCTGAGCAGCAGTTCCCTATTCCTGCCACCAGGTGGGATCACGTCTACTTTTTGGTTCTGTTAGGATTGAGTCAGTTAACAAGAGGTACCCACCTGGCACAGTGCTCTGCAGTCAGCTCATCGTTTCTTGATAGATGGGAGCTGTCGGAGCATCAGGGAGGACCGACATCGACCAACAGAAGTGCAGTGTGAGCCGCAAATGTCATCAGACATTTTCTCATTGTCACATTGAAAAGTTCCAAGGAACAGGTGAGAAATTAATGTTCACAGTACATTTTATTTAGCCCAGCATATCCAAAACATGGTAAGAAAATCAGTAAAGGTAATTTATAGTTTGGGGGCATTTTTTGGCCCGAAGTCTGTGAAATCTGGTGTGTATTTTACACTTACAGCATTTCTCAATTCAGGCAAGCCACACGGGAGCGCTCAAGAGCCCCACGTGACTTTTGGCTACTGTTTCGGACTTGTAGTTCTCGAACACATCTCAGGCCAGGCAGCGAGCACAGCAAATGGCGCATCATCATGACCCAGACCAGCAGGGGCGGAGCTGAGTTGAGGCGGGATCGGGCCGAGGCTCCTTGGGGCTGTCAGCATGCTTGTCGGGCAGTCAGGGCGAAACCCTCCAGTGCAGTTGAGTGGCGCACGTGCTGGGTGAAAGTGACTTCCCTGTGGGGACGCACGCACGCATGCACGCACCCTCACGAGGGGCTGGCTCGGGGGCGGAGCTAACCAGGGGAGAGAAAGGGAGAGAAACACCAGTATGTGGTTGCCTCTCGTGCACACCCTACTGGAGACCTGGCCTGCAACTCAGTTATGTGCCCTGAGAATTGAACCGGCAACATTTTGGTTCGCAGGCTGGAGCTCAATCCACTGAGCCACACCAGGCAGGGCAAGGCTATCTTTTTTCATACTACCAATTTTCATACTGTTTATTTTATTTGCTTATGGAATGTGCTTCTCCCCACCTGTAGGAGAATCTACAGCTGCACATAGATTTTTGTCTCCTTTCTCAGTGCCTGGTACTAAAAAGGTACTCAACACATATTTAATGGAGAAATGGACTACTGTACTGATATGATGTATTTTATAAAACAAAGAGAATTCCAGGTTTATTCACCATTCATCAGCGGGTCACATGGCATGTCCCTTGGGATGCGGAGACCTACTGGAAACCTTTGCTTGTACATGGTTGTTGAGGAAAATGATTAGCACTGAATATTTTACCAAAATAAAATCTGAGCCCTGGGTGGTATAGCTCAGTGGATTGAGCACTTGCCTGCAAACCAACAGGTCGCTGGTTCAGTTCCCAGTCAGGGCGGTTGCCTGGGTTGCAGACCACATCAGGTCCCCAGTGGGGGATGCGTTAGAGGCAACCTCACATTGATGTTTCTCTCCTGTGCTTTTTCTTTCTCCCTTCCCTCTGTCAAAGTGTCACACACGCTAGGTGGAAGTAATCTTAAAAAAATAAATAAATCTTGCTTTAAAAAAAGATCTGAGAGCAATTGAAGTGCAGGCTCGAATGGCAATTTTATAGAAGGGGATTCCTTTGCTGTTCACCTGCCAACCATCAAAAAACGCTACCAATTTCTGGGAGGGAGAAAGACTCTGCATGCTGCCAGTAGAGGGCGCTAGGCACTAAGGAAGGAACAAGCCAAGCAGGTTGGGCAACTGCTTCGAGGGTGGGACGAGGTCACTGGGTCCCTAAGAGCTGAGTGACGTCCCCTCGCCGGTCCCTCCTCACCTCCACACACACAGTAAGTGGCAGACAGATGGTTAGGTCTGAATTTGACCAGGTTCTGTCTTTAATGATTCTGCATTCTCACATTTCACTCTGGCTTTCAACCTACCGGACACAAATAAATCATTTATAGGCTGGCTGAATAGCCCATAAAACGAATGCTTCTCAACTAACAACTCTTTTCTAATCATTCATTATTGTTTTCTGCTGGAGGGCTCTGAGTCTCCCTGAGATGGGGCCCGATGCTGGGCGTCCTGCAGCCTGCTGCCACTTGGGCTTGGAGACTCGAAGTGGCCTTATGTGTGGGTGTTCAAATCTTGTGGAAAAAGTGATGGATATCATTTTTAATACAAAAGTATGCAAGGCAGTTCTGAAAATTCCAAGATGCTCCGTACCATGCTGGCACACCTTTTGTTGGAATGCTTTCTCGGTACGCCATTTTGTATCCTGTGATTATCATTTGTTATTAGGTCACAAACACGGTGACCTCTTCTTCCTCCTCTTCCTCCCAGCCCACGCCATCGCCCAGTCCTAGCGACCAGGCTGGCAGATCTGCCCACTCCTCCCCACGCCCACGGCCACAGCCCCTCGGACAGGCCATGGAGTATTGTGGCCTTTGACCATCTCCTGCTTCCCCTCTGAGCCCCAGCCCCCTGTCCACCCCCCATGCAGCAGGCACGGTTGTCTTGGAAACACTGTTTATTGTGGCAAAATAATATAAAGTGTACTCCTGGAACCGTTTTTACCTGTACCGTGTGGTGGCGTTACATTCACCTGTGACCACCGTCCACCTCCAGCTCTTTCTCGCTTCCCCAGATTGAAGCTCTGTCCCTATTGAACACTAACTCCCCCCTCCCTCCCCCAGTCCCCAGCACCCACAACTCCACTTCCCGTGTCTGTAAATTTGACCACTCTAGGGGCTTCTCGTGAGTGAAACCACACAACGCTTGTCCTCTTGAGACCAGCTTCTTTAACTTCAGCACTGTGTCTTTAAGACTTGTCCATCTGAAGGCCGAATAATACTCCATCGTGTGTGTGGGCCCCCCTATTGTTTCCCTGCTAGGATCGCCTTCTTGCCTTCTCCGATGCAAATCAGGTCATGTCTTTCTTCTGCCTGACACCCCTTGGTGGCTTTCCAGGGCTCCCTGAGCCAGAGCCCTTCCGTGGCCCAGGACCCCCTCCTCCGGCCTCTGCCCCTCACCCTCTGCGTGACACCCACACCAACCACTTCCTGATCCAGGACACGCCAAGCCCTTTCTCAGCCCCCCACGCGAGGCTCCCTCTGCCAGGCACCACTTTCTCCACTGCCTTTCAGGCTGGTCTGTTCTCACCCTAGACTGTCGCCTCCGCCCTGGGGTCTCCCGGCTCACGCTGTCTGTCATCCTCCCAGTTTACTTCCTTCCTTCCCTCCCATCATCTGGCCTCTTGACGGCTTGTTTATCGTCTGTCTCCTCTCGGAAACGGGCTTCTTCACGAGACACAGGCCCTGCCGTGTCTGGGTCACTGCTGGGAGGGGCTCAGGAGTGGTTGCTGTCAGGCTGTCTGGGGGGTGTGGCCGGGCTTGTCACTTGCTCACTTGCCCTAAACGCTCATTTATAACAGTGCTCATTTAGAAGGTGGCGCGTGGCCTCGGAAGGGCCTGAACTAGATGGTCGGGAATCTGGTTTTCTCCCTTCCTTTCTGCCGCCCACAGCCTCCCGACCGTTCTGCTGGACTGAATGACGCTTTCCCCTCCACGCAGGGTGGTGCCGATGGCATCTGTCTCCCCACACTGCCCAGCAGTTCTGTGCGGTGTAGGCAGATAGAGGCTCTAAGAATATTGGGGGACAGTAAAGAGCTTTAGAAAGAAATATACCCAATCTGTTAACCACAGGAAAAAAGAAGCTAAGGGTGACATAAATAAATTATTTGGAAAGGTTGTCCAGAGAAACAGGAGAATTCCACTCATCTGCATTTAAAAGTTTGGGATGGGAGAAATGTATTTGGTAAATACAAGAAGATCATTTATTTCCAAGTTACATGTATTTGTAGAAACACATAAATATACATAGTTTGAGAAAGATGAAGAGACACTAAAAAGAGAAGCTCTTACTAATTTTGAGCGCAGGGAACAATCTGAGTGATACAGGAGCATATTTTCTGTGTGTTGCAAATATCTCCTCCTACCCCCGTCTTGCCTTTTCACTCACAGCTCTTGGAATAAACCTCTTATTGACTCTAACGTACGTATGGAATAGGGACTATATCACAATGTACAATGGGACATTTTTACAAATGAATTATGTGACTTGCATCCAGTTGAGAAGGCACACGCGGCCTGCACCCCACGGGCTTGGCCAGCACATGGCACTGCCTGGGAGCGGGGGCGGGGGGCCACCTGGGGAGACAGGGGTCCCTGCCATGGGCAGCAGCCCGCACCCCTGACTTGGGTTTCAGCCTCTCCCTGACTCACCTCATTTCTTTTAGGCCCCGTTACATTTCCGTAGGGGCCCTGAGCTTTGGTTCGTTGACACTGCTGCCCGGCCTGGTCGCATTAACTGAGGCCTACAGGCCGTCTGGCCGGTGTCCTTCAGGGCAGCCAGGTTGGCCTTGCTTCCCAGTCAAGGCTGTGGCGCAGCCAGGACCGGAGGATGGACACCCCTGAGTCACCGTGCAGGGCCTCCTCCCGCCCCACAGTGGAAGGGCTGCTTCTGTCCAGTTGGCGTGGAAGCTCCCACGCCCCAGAGAAAGGAAAATCTACAATTGGCTCCCCTCAGGGGGGCTGCTGATGAGAATCCCCATTAGCACAGTGGTAGCTGGACTGGGCCAAGTGTACCGCCTGGTGCGTACCGAAGTGAGCGCCCTGGGAGCGGCTCCCTGCCTGTGTCTCCACAGCTCTGCCTGGGCCTGGGTTCAAACCCCGTGGGGTCTCCGATGATCAGGCTGCCTGACTGTGGACGAAAACAGCTTGTGTTCTTTGGTCTCAGTTTCCCTTCCCAAGGCCCCCACGGTTTTGGGGGTAGACACTGAAAGTATGTGACAGACGGGAGGCTGAGGGGCAAGGATGGCTGGGGGTCTGCCCGGGATGGCCCCACACTGGACTGAGGCTGGACTCCCGTCGCGCTGCACCTTCCTCCCACCTTTCAGCAGTTAAGAAGCATCCACGGTGATGTGACAAAGTGGCGGAGGGAACAGGGCGTCCGAGAAGCAAGGTCCCACCTCTGCTGCGTCCTTTTGGACGCCTCCTTCCTTGTTCTCTTTCCTGGTTCCCATGGGGCCCTGTGCTCCCTCTCGGGCTGGACTTGGCTGGGGTCAGTGAGGCCACTTTAATAAGGAAGCTTCCAGAAACTTAGTAATCAAGCACTACCCACATCGAGTATTTTTTTAAATATTTTATTTATTTATCTTTAGAGGGGAAGGAGAGAGGGAGCGAAACATCAATGTATGGTTGCTTCTAGTGCATCCCGTGCTGGGACTGGCCTGCAGGAAACCGGCTTGCAACCCAGGCATGTGCCCTGACTGGGAATCGAACCCCAATCCTCTGGTTCGCAGACCTGCGCTCCATCCGCTGAGCTACACCAGCCAGGGCCCCACATTGAGTATTTTTAAAAATGAAAATTAATGCCAGGAAGTCAATGACGAGCAAAGAATCCAATTTTAAAATGAAGTCAGTTAGTCTCTGAAACGTTTGCTTTGGTTGATGTCACATGTTACTTCTGTCAGACAATTCTCAGATTTTGAGTTTGAGCCCTGACTTCCTCCCTTGAGGGAAAGTGGAGGCTAGGCCCTGACTGGGTAGTGTCACCCTGAAACGCCAAGGTTGTGGGTTCAATTCCTAGTCAGGGCACATAGGAGAATCAACCAACGAATGCATAAATACATGAAGCAACAAATCAATGTTTCTCTCCCCCACTTTTTCTCTTTTTGAAAAAAAATCAATCAATAAAAAAAGACATTGAGGCTCTCTAGCTGCTTCTCGAACCCTCTGGAAGTTCCACTTGGCAAAGGGCTGAGGCCTCCAGCCCACAGCTGCTCGAGCATCCAGCCTGGGCGTGGGTCCCGCGAGTCCACGCCTTCTGTTGGCTGCGCCTCACCAGAGACCCTGAGTCAGGAGCGGCCAGCCGAGCTGCTCCTGGATGCCGGACCCTCAGAAGCCGTGAGGCAGGAAGTGCAAGCGGACTTGGTGTTTTCACTGCTGAGTCTGGAGACTACTTGTTACTCGGCAACTCCTCTCTCTCTCTGGAGCGATTTGGCAGACCTCTCCACTGGGCTGCACGAGTGTCCTCTTCCTTCTCTGTCACTGGCCCCGGGAATGGCACTGCCTGTGTGCCGATGACGCCCAGGGCTTCAGCTCTTCCAGCCGAAACAGCTTCCCGGAGTTACCAGCCATCGCATCTGCTCCCAGGTTCCTCGTGATTTATAAAACCCAAAGCCGACAGCCACAGCCAAGGGGGACCAAGACGGTGAAATGTAATGCGGTGTCCTGAGTGGTGTCCTGGACCAAACAGTGGACATTAGGTGGGAACTTAGGTGATCTAAGTACACACTTAACTTAGTAATAATACATTAACATGGGCTCAGTGATCATGACGAAAGTACCATGCTAATGTAAGATGTTAATAATACAGACGATTGTGTGGGATCTGTGGAAGCTCTCTGTGCTGTCTTTGTAACTTACCTGTAAATATAAAACTGTTCTAAAATACAAAATTTATTTAAAAAACAGTGACATAAGGGCTAGGCTAAAAAGTCATGAATATTTTACAATGTAAAGTCAGGGTGTGCGATATACACACACACATGTATGTATATAAAGAGAGTACGTGTCAAATGCATGTATACATACATATATATGAAGGGTGCGAATATATTAAAGAACTTCATATGAAAAGGGCTCACATAGGTCTAGGAGTAAAGAAGGCACTCTGAAATAAATGCAGCGAAGAAAAGATGAATAAATCTGCGCTGGGGCTGTCGCGGTTGATTCTCAGGCTGTGGCCCTTTCCTAAAATAATAAAAAAATAAAAAAAAAAGAAAGAAAGTACAAAGCACTATAAGCTTGAAGCGGAGCCATGAAAAAGGGAGCATCGCAGCCGTGGTCTGGGAGAGTACGATTGCCATGCATTTGGTCCAGAGAGGATCCGTGTCCAGGATGCAGAAATAGTTGCTGCAAAGCAATGAGCAAACGACAAAGGACAGAACAGAAAAACTGGAGGAGGAAATCTACATGGCTCAGAAACGTTGGAAAAGCCGTTCAATCTCACCGTTAGCCAGAGGAAGGTGAAAGAAAGGCGGTACGATTCCCTCCCCCTCCTGCCCCATGTTCAATTAGCAAAGTGTAGGAGCTTAATGAAGAGAGGGTGAGGATGTGAGGACACTAGTTTTCCCAGATACAGTAGGGTGTGTAAATTAGTAGGGAGTTCTTGAAGAGCAATTTGGCAGATTCTGATAAAACTGTAAAACATGCACATTCTACCCAGTTCTCGGTATCTATCTTAGAGAAATAGATATCTATGTCATATTTCCTTATATAAATACATATTCACATATATATGTGATATAACAGTATACTAGTAGAATACCAATAAATACCCATACACAGTTCCCAAAGAAGAATGCTCGAAAATTTGCATTGCAGCGTTGAAGATCCAAAAGCTTTAAGAGAAAACAAACAATAATAATAAGAGAAAATTAGAATGGCATCTCCCTTTTCATTAGCAACCCTGCCTGCCCTGCACACTGGAAGTCAGCGGAGCAATGCTGTAAGCATTCTGAGAGACAGTCCCTTTTGAAGCTAGAATTCTACACCCATGCCAATCAAGTCAAAGGAAGGAATAAAGACATTTGTAGACATTTAAGCTTCCTCTCTGAGAGAGTTACTTGCAGACGTATTCCAGCAAAATGAAGGAGAAAAGAAGAGAGGTAGAACACAGTGGATCTGACCCAAAATAAGCAGTGAGGGGAGACACCAGTGACAGTGGTGCAGCTGGCCCCGAGAAGAGCCGTATCTAAGTTTCAGCCAGAGAACAGCGGTCTCTGGACGAAGGGAAGATACTGCTAGAAAAACTAAAAACTGCATCCTCTGAAATAGATGAACAAAAGGCTGAATAATTTTGAAGATACGATAAAGACACATTATCTTTTTGTCAACAAGAAGTCAGCAGCGGCTCCAAGAAAAATGAAAGGCTGAACAAGAAAATTATGATCTAAATAAGAAGCAAACTAAAATGAGGTATTAGGCCCTGGCTGGTGTGGCTCAGTGGATTGAGTGTCGGCCTGTGAACCAAAGGGTTGTTGGTTGGATTCCCAGTCAGGGCACATGCCTGGGTTGCTGGCCAGGTCCCCAGTAGGGGGCACACGAGAGGCAACCACACATTGATGTTTATCTCCCTCCTTTCCCCTCTCTCTAAAAATAAGTAAAATAAAATCTTTTTTTAAAAATGAGGTATTAGGACTAATTGATAGACTATATAAGAAAAGTGAACCCATTTGTGTTTGATTCCAGAAACACTTTTCTTTGGGTTTATTTTGGACCCAGAGTTTTAAAAAAAAAGTCATCTCAGCACCCTTTTTGGCTCTACAATAAATAGCATTTATATAATCATGATAACATAAATGTCGCTTATTGCTTTTTCAGCATTTACAATCAACACATGAACAAAGGACGAAGCAGAATGTTCCGGTTACCAGTTCTGACAACGCAAAGGGCAGGGTGCAGCTGGCAGAGGCCAGGAGACCGGGAGGGAGAAGGTAGGCGACCCTCGCAGTTCTGAAGTTTTTTGTTGTGTGTGTGTTGGTCACTAATTTCCTCAATGAACACCGTCTCGAGCTTGAAGAGCAAGAAATAAAGGTTTTGGTATACCGTTTCCATTGGCCCAAGGGACAAAAAGAACTAAAAGGACCCACGTGGTTATTAAGAAAGTGAGAGGAGGATGGAAGGAAAGAGGCTGAACAGACCCAGTCTGTCCCTGTTGGGAGGGAAGGCGTCAGCGGTGCGGGCTGGAGAGCGGAAAGGGGCGGCGTGGGGGACTGTTGCTTTTCTTTTTTTTTTTTTTAATTTTATTTTTTTATTGATTATGCCATTACAGTTGTTCTATTCCCCCCCTTCATTCCCCTCCACCCTACCCACCCCCGTCCCCACCATTACTCCCCCTTTAGGTTATGTCCATGTGTCTCAAGTTCTTTAGATTCTATATTTCCCATGCTATTCTTGCCCCCCCATCTATTTTCTATCTACTGTCTATGCTACTTATTTTCTGTACCTTCTCCCCCTTTCTCCTCCTCCCACTCCCCTGTTGCTAACCCTCCATGTGATCTTCATTTCTATGGTTCTGCTCCTGGTCTAGCTGTCCTCTTAGTTTGCTTTCGTTTTAGGTGTGGTTGTTAATAACTGTGAGTTTGTTGTCCTTTCACTGTTCATGTTTTTTTAAACTTCTTTTTCTTAGATAAGTCCCTTTAACATTTCATATAATAAGGGCTTGGTGATGATGAACTCCTTGAATTTGGTCTTATCTGAGAAGCACTTTATCTGTCCTTCCATTCTAAATGAAAGCTTTGCTGGATAGAGCAATCTTGGTTGTAGGTCTTTGGATTTCATGACTTGGAATACCTCTTTCCAGCCCCTTCTTGCCTGTAAGGTCTCTTTTGAGAAATCTGCTGACAGTCTGATGGGAACTCCTTTGTAGGTGACTGTCCCCCCTCTTTGCTATTTGATTTTGTACGATGGAAATATCTTTTTTAAGAAATTCATGGGGGTGACACTGGTGAATAAGGTCAGACATGTCTTTGAACACACACACACACGCACGCACGCACGCACGCACGCAGAGGCTCTTTGGGAAACTCATCAGCTCCCACCGGGAGCCTCTCCGAGAGCCTAGAGACCAAGAGGCCAGCCAAATGCTCAAGGGACGGCTTAGAGCTGCACCGCAGAGGAAGCAGAACGTGTCTGCAGGAGGTGTGGCGGCTGCTTGGTGGCTGGAGTGTCACGTTCCCTCAGGCACCCGTGGAGAGGCGGCAAAACACCAAGAGTGGACGGCAAAAGCTCGTTTCCTCTCCGAGATAGCTGGGCGCTGAGCGTTTGATAAAATGCTAAGTTTCTTCTTCGAAAAGGATCCCTCCCAGCAGGAGAGGGCTAATCCTACTGATTTTCAAATGACTCCAGGCTCATTATTATGTATTTTGTTTACTCAGCCCGCCTTTCCAATTACCTTTCAGGATGTGCAAATCCCTTCTTCCCGGCTGACTTTTAGCCTGCTGCAAGTTGGAGAAGGGAGTAGTGACCTCAGTGTTAATCCCAGGGCCCTGCACTCTGTACCTACAGCCTCGAAAACCCGATGGGACCTGGGCCTTTAAGAATTTTCTGTCTAGAACAAGTCGTGTGAGGCCGGGAGCACGGGCGCCCAGCTCTGCTTCTGAGCGCTCCTGGCTGTGTCTCCCTGTGGCAAAGTGAAAGCAGAAGAACCTGTGGTCGCAGACCAGCGATTTTCAACCCTTGTGCTGCAAGAATTTTAAAACCACACGCTACCTATCGAGTTGGGGGCACTGACCTCTTTTCCCTTAGATTGTCAGATAAACAAACGACAGCAGCCAGCCCACCAATAGCTCTTCGGTGTGAATGAATGAAAACCACCTTTTGACACCTTTTGTGTTTGTCAGGATCGGGGTCAAATGGGTTTTTAGTGTGCCACGGACATTTTGTAATTAGTTGATGTGTGCCACGAGATGAAAAAGGTTGAAAATCGCTGTGTATACCGATGTTATCAGGTGGCTGGTCTCGTGTAGGTTCGGACCGTCCTGAAGTGCGTGCGAGACACGGCATTGCTCTGGGAAAGCGGACCAGAGGATGGAGTGTAGGGGACACTTGCCACTGTCTGTCCCTCTGCCAAGTGTATGCGGTTTTCAGTCTTGACATTGTATGCGTTTGCCACTAGCTTCCTGAATGAGTACTGGCCTTAACGTGGACTGTGATCTCATGTCTCTTTAATTCAAATTTCAAAATGTTTAGCAAAAAGAGGCTCAATATCCATTTCTTTCTCTCTGTCCCTCTCTCCAAATGTTGTCTAAGCTCCATGCCAGGCATGACTGCAGACTCAAACAGGAGGGCGTCCATCCCTCGCTGAGCTGGTGCCCAGCTTGACGACTGCATACAAGCCTGTGTATGCAGAAGGCCACAAGGAGTGTCATCCAGCTGTTCTCACCGGGGACCTCGGGCACCCAGAGCTCACAGCGATGGGCTGGGCAGGGACCGATGGGGCAGTCAGAACATGAGGGGAGAATGTTCACGAAGGAAGGAAGGTGTTTCTGAGACTGACCAGATGAGAACACTGCAAAGGTGAGAGTTGAAGGGCTTTTAGGCCTCGGAGAATAGGGGCTGCTCTGTGAGAGGCCAGATGGCCCCGCACGAAGCAGGGTGCGGGGTGGGAGGGCCAGGCTGGGCCTGAGCAGAGGCTCCGACCAGAGCCCTGGCCCCCTGTCGCCACCTGGGAAGTCAGGTGAGGGGCCACCAGGCAGAGAGGCCTGATTCAGAATCAGCACCTTGGTCTCCTGCCTTCTGTGTCATGGTGCTTGAAAGCGAAAACATTCTGAAGTGTCGATGCTCTCAAGAAAGGCAAAAATGGGTTTTTGCAGGAGAGGGTGGTAGAGAAGAAATAGAAATTTAAAGGAAAATTTTGTTCACTTTAGACGGTTAGAGAGTGAACTTAATTTGCATGTAATATGAATACGGTCAGAGTGTTTGGAGAGAGAAAGAGCCTTTCTGTTTGCCTCTTCTTCTTTTTTTTAAATGTTTGGTTTTTAAAATTTTTATTTATTTTAAATAAATAAATATTTATTAAAAATTTTATTTTAAATAAATAAAATAAAGGGGAAGGGAAGGAGAGATGGAGAGAAATATCAATGTATGGTTGCTTCTCATGCATCCCCTGCTGGGAACTGGCCCACAACCCAGGCATGTGCCCTAACTGGGAATTGAACCGTGCGATCTTTGGTTTGCAGGCCCATGCTCAATCAATCCACTGAGCTACACTAGCCAGGGCTCTGTTCGCCTGTTCTTACTCTCAAATTTTCAGGGAAAGGAGCTCATGAAAAATTTCTTTTCCTTTTCCTTTTGATTGTTTTCTTTCTTCTCTCCACAGTCAGTCAGGAAGCTGAGGAATCTTCTGGCCCGGCTTGGGTGACGGAAGTACAACCTTCAAGGTGTGACGGCTTGTTTTGTCTTCATGGGCCTGCTGTGCAGTCCTCCGCCCGCCCCCCCCAACCCCGGAGCCCCTTTCGAAGCCTAAAGTGAGAAGCATCAATATCCAGATTCTCCCCCAGTCCCCACTCAAACCCCACTCAGGCGGCCTGGGCTGGGGGCCAGGATTCCTCAGTGGTCCCAGGCAGAAATCGCCACCTCCGGGGACAAATCCAGGCCTGGTGGAAGGTGGGGGTTGCCAGGGCAGGGCTCGTGGAAAAGCTGTCGGGCTGAGGGGAGGTGAGGAATGGGGGTCCTACCCCAGAGCTCAGGGGCAGCTGGCCCTGTGGTTCCGTGATGGCCCAACTGTGTGGAGTGACCCGGGTCAAGGGGCACCACTGCAGGAACCATGGCATCCTGCCCAGAGAGGACAGAGCCGGCTGGAAGGCTGGACGACCTCAAGGCCGAGGTGAGCGCGGTTGGAGGAGACCAGTTGTTAAGTGTCCTCCGTCCCAGGTGTGCGTGGGGGAGCGAAGCACTGGGGGTCTGGCACAAATAACGCCCCTTTTTTATTACAAAATCACGAGCCTGTAATTCTGTAACATAACAATATCCCACTCGAGCACACTGTGGGACATTTTAGGCGAAATGTTCGAGTTAAAACTATAAATTATTACACCCGTATTGTTCCCCCACCAACCACACTCAAGCAGGCCTTGCCTCTGCCGGCCCGAGTTTGCATTCTCCTCCAGCATTTGCACCGGAAGCACGGAGCACCCGCAACATAGGGTCTCTGAGAAAACGTCTTCAGAAAATTTGAAAATCCCTCACACCATAGGTTTGTGAACAGCAGGGGCTTCATCTGCCTTAGAAAGCCTTGGGAGGGAGGGGGCTGAGCTAGACAATGGCTTTATACACAGTCCTCCCTCCCCCACGCCAGAAGTGGCTGTTTTCAGGGCCCCCCTGACCCCACAGCTGACCCACCAGACTCCAGGCCCAGACCCACACAGAGGGGAGGCCCTTCCTCTGCATGACAAAGGGCAGCTGCCCTCCTCCTGACCACAGGTCCGTGAAAAGCCTCCCAATCCACACTCTGGTCTTCTCTTGGCCACTAGCTAATTGCCCAATTATTTTATTTCCCCTGAGCAAAACTTCAGGCCTCCTGGAATCCACATTCAGGACCAGGAGCCTGTGTCCAGGAAGCCTCGGGAGTCTGGAAGCTGATCCTCTGTCTGCCTGCTGCTCAGGCCTCCCGGCCGGTCCTGCCCCAACCCTGGGGTGACCGGGTCCCCCACCCATCCAGAGCTGATGGCCGCCCCCCACCAGCTTCAGGGGGTTGGGTAACACTGTGCACTGGGAACAGCTGGAGGGGCAGAGGAACTCGGGGCTGGGAATCGGAAGACACAGCTATGCAGGCGTCACCTGTGTGAGCCCGGGCACAGCGTCACCTCTCAGGGCCTCGGTTTCTTAGCTCTAAAAACTGGGGGCAGGACAATGGTCTGGAGAGTCCATTTCAGCTCCGATTCTATAAAGAATCAGAACCATTTGTACAGAAAGTCCTCAAACTGCGACCTCAAGAGAAATGACGTGTAACGAAACCAATGCTACAAAAGGCTAATTGATAGAAATGTTAAATTCCTAGGGCGTATTTCTGGTCACAAAAACATCACCAAACTTTTAATAAGAGAGCCAAAACACTTCCAATAGTAAACATTGAGAGAAATGTGAGCTATACAGTAGATTTAAGAAAATGAGTAAACGCCAGTAAGATCATTGTTTTCCAACCCGCTGATTCCAATTCAGGGTCACGGGGGGCCTGAGCTTCTTCTCAAAGTTCAGGATACCAGGTAGGGGTCCCCCCATCACAGGGGCCCTCACACTCACCCCACGTCACTCAGACTGGGACAGTGCAGACACGCTGGCTCGCCTCCTGTGCACGACTTTGGGATGCGTCAGGGACCCCATGCAGACGTGGGGAGATTGTGCCAACTCCACGTGGAACGTGGCCGTGCCAGGGAGTGATTTTTTTTTCTTTTCCTCATTAGCGTTACAGCAAAATGCCTGGGAACCAAAAAGACCTATTCAGGGACTTGCTGTAGAATCATCTCCCTCTGATTCTCCAGAGTAATAGGAGCAGGTATGGCACCTTGCTGGATGGACACCCCTTAGGGGAGGTCCCTGAGGTAGAGAAGGGTTCTCCATTTCCCAGTGGTGGGACCGCTTGCCCAGGCCCCTTGAAGCTCCTGAAACCCACCCAGGTCGGCGGGACCAGTCAGCAACACTGAGGGTGACTGGGCTGCTCCAGTCCCCACTGAGCACTCAGCTCTAGGGGTCTCCGTGCTAGGGGGCCAGCTCAGGAGCACCCAGGAGGTGTCTGGGGGTGAGGGTGGCAGGGAATCCAGCAGAAGAGGGACCTTCCACTTGACTTTGTGGGCTGGAAAATGAAGTTTTGGTTAACTGGTCAGTTATGTCCTGTGCAGAGGGGGCTCCTGAGTGCTGGGGACTCCCATGGTCCTCGGCCCACAGGGAGGCAGCTCCTTGGTGGGAGGAGCCTGTAACGGTCAGGGAGCAGCAGCCCCAGGGGCCGGGCCCCTCTCACCCTTGTCCCTGCTGAAGCCTGTCCCAGTGAACTCCGGGGGTCTAGGTGTTTGCGGACTGTCAGAGGGCCCCTGGCATGCCTGGGCGTCATATTCCTGGCACCACCCTGGCCGGTGATAAGCTACAGGGCTTCCTCTTCCCCAGCGCCCAGGCTGGCCGACTTTGCATATTTATGGGACACCGGCCCAGAAGACAGCTTCAAGGGACTAAGGGCCACAGGTCCCAGGCCGCCTGTAAATGGGGCACTTCTGCACCTTTTGGCCTGACTTGAGGCCCAAATGTTTGCATCAAGCCCTGTCCTTGCTAATCATCACTTGCAAAAAAAAAAAAAAAGCAACATGATTCTTTTGAAGACAGCTACACTTGTCACAGAGAGAGCGGGAGGGCCTGTTTGGGCCCAACACGGAGGTGGCAACTTATAGTTTCCGAACGTTCAAACTCTGAGATAGGAGCCCCAAGATGGGATTTGAACCCTCCTTGTGAATGACACCGATTCTGTGGAAATGGAAGAGGGAGAGGAAAGGAGAGGGGAGCCGGTCCCGCCACCCCCTGAGATTCCCCTCTGGGGTTCAGCTGTCAAAGTCTCGGTATTTCCTCTTACCTGGTGCTGTGTTCATATTTGGCAGAATCCCCGTGTCCTTCCCTTCAAGCAACTCTAGCTCTGGCAGTTGCTGGCTGTAGAACCTTGGGCACCCGGGTGAAGTTTTGTGTCTCAGTTTCTTCATCTGTGAGATGGGAACAATAATGGCAACTTGTGAGGATAAAGAGTTGAAGTATGTAAAACACAGATCAGTGCACAGCCCATAAGCACAGTTAGCCGTTAGGAATATTACCAGTGTTGCTATCATTCCTCCCCTTCCACAAATTCTAAGCCTCCCACCTTGTTACTGAAGCCCCTCAAAGTACACCCACCTATGCATATGGTGGCAATTTACGCACGATGTCCTCAGGCTCTCATCCAGGAGAAATCCCACCTGTGTGCACCAGAAGGTTCTCTCTCCCTCAGCCTGGGATATGTCAGGAGCACGGTGGCAGGGGTGGCACAAGAGACCTGCCAGTGACACAGCACCCCTATTGGGAAGGGGGGGGTGCTCCCTGCCCACTGGGTCCCTTCACCTTCACCCACAGTCCTTGTCTGCCTTCACCATCATTGCTCACCTCCCATGTGACAGGCAGGACACGGGTTTTGGGAAGGACTTCCTCCTGCACATCCTTGAATCTCCTGGGCCAGGAGGAGCACTAGGGACACATGACCTCCTCAGCCCTCCACTTGCTGGGTGGGTGCAGGTGGGTCCCTTCACCACGTGCTGTTGTGCCTTTGCACCAGGTGGACGTTGACACCTGCCTCCTAGGGCTGTTGCGAGTCCACGTCCAGAGCGTAGAGCGGCGCCTGGCACCCAGTGAGCTCTGCCGGTTGTCACCGTGTCAGGAAAAGCAACTGTGCAGATGGCAGGGAACCTTTGCATGGGCTTCCCATGCCCCGGGCACTGCTACTGCGTTTAATCTTCCTGCCAGCCCTGTGGCAGAGCCCATTACTGTCGTCCCTCCTGCAGACGAGTGAACTGAAGCACTGAGTGGCGACGGAACTTGCTAGCAGGTCAGATGGCCAGCCTGACTAAAATGTGTGTTTGAGGAGGCCCAGGGGGCTCCCACCCACCCCACTGTGCCCAGAACCTGTGGCTTTGGACAGGATAGGACTCTGGGCAGCTCTGGCCTCTGCCTTCCGGGTCCCTGTCCCTGAAGCCCCATCCGGGCATGGCATGGGCTTGGACCAAGTGCTGATGACGGGGGCCAGCGGCCAGGCTCCCTGCAGAGCACACTCCCCAGGAGTGTGCCCTACTTTCACTCTGCCAAGATGCTGCAGGTATCCCTTCCCTGGGCACTTCCAAAGAGCCCAGCTGCCAGATTTCTGTCCAGGCAGCAACAAGCTTCCTTCTATCACAAGGGAGGACCAGGCCCCCTGAGGGACTGTGGAGAGGAGGGGGGCTTGCTGGGACCCGAGAGAGATGACTCAAGGGGCTTCTGTGGAATGCCCTGAGCAAGGCCTGGCCCGGGACCACAGGAATACAGCCCGCTTTCCCTGCTTCCTTCCCCGCCAGCAAACCCAGGCTGGCCCCCAGGAAAGGGACTTCCACAGCTGGCTCTGGCTAGTGGGACTCTTCCACAGAACGGTCTTGGTTTTTCTTAGACTGGGACTGGGGTAGAGCCAGGGAAATTCAATAGGCACTAGGATTATTACGGAGCTGCCAGACAGCAGCGGCCAGAGGCCCCCGCCATGTAGCATCCAGGCAGGCTTCGTGCCCTTCCCAGACAGCCCCTCCGCAGGGCTCAGGGACCTGTCTGGCTGCGGAGCTCCCAGGAGAAGAGGGTGTGACCTTCCCCCCCTCACCACCCAGGCCCAGCCCAGGGCTGCTATAAAGCTGGCCCGGCCTGGCTCTCAGCACACCCACCTGGGACCCTCCCAGACCCTCCTCGGGGGACACGCTGCTCTGCTCCTCCTCCTGGGTGGCACCATGAGGTCCCTGTGGCTCTGCTGGGCGCTCTGGGCGCTGCCCCTGACTGGCCCCGGGGCGGCCGTGACCGAGGAGCACATCCTGAGCAGCCTGCTGCAGCAGCTGCACCTCAGCGAGGTGCCCGTCCTGGACGAGAGTGACGCAGAGGAGCCGGTCACCCCTGCCCACGTGAGGGCCCAGTACGTGGCCCTGCTGAGGCGCAGCCATGGGGCCCCCTCCAGAGGGAAGAGGTTCAGCCACAACTTCAGAGGTGAGGCTTCCCTCCCTGCTGCACTCTGGGCCTTGGGGGGTGGGGACTAAAACTGGATGTGCCTATTTGGGAAGGCTTCTGGGGCTGGGACTTGCCCCCTGGGTGTCCACAGACACACCCAGGTGCCCAGGGTGAGGATTCTGATGTTCAGCATCCCAGCTGACCTGTTAGCTCAGGGCTGAAGGGCTGCCCTTCCTGCTCCTGGGGATTGTTATAAAAGGCTATACACAGGCCCCAGGGGGCTGTCTAGGTAACCAGGCTTGGTTCTCTCTCCACTTGGCCAGCACCTCGGTAGTTCTATTACCCTCAGAGGTCCCCTGGTGCCCAGAGAGGCCCCGCTGACCCTGCCGTTGTCCCCAGAGGTGGCCGGCAGGTTCCTGGTGTCCGAGGCCTCCACACGCCTGCTGGTGTTCAGCATGGAGCAGCGGCTGCCCCCCAACAGCGAGCTGGTGCAGGCGGTGCTGCGCCTCTTCCAGGAGCCGGTCCCCGAGGCCGCGCTCCGCAGGCATGAGCTGCTCTCTCCGCACGGCGACCGAGCCCGGGTCACCGTCCAGTGGCTGCAGGTCCGGGATGATGGCTCCAACCGCACGTTCCTCATCGACTCCAGGTGGAGAAGCCCTGGCTAGGATGCGTGTGGGGAGACAGTGGGCCATGGAGGCGGGGGAGGGGTGGGAAGGGGCTGGCGCATCCTCCTGAGGGGACTGGGAGGGGGATGGGAATGGGCTGCAGAGATTCCCCCAGTCTCCAGCCCTCAGCCCAAGCCTCTGTCTCCGCCTGGTGTCTCCGCAGACCGGTGTCCATCCGCGAGAGCGGCTGGAAAGCCTTCGACGTGACTGAAGCCGTGAACTTCTGGCAGCAGCTGAGCCGGCCCCGGGAGCCCCTGCTGCTTCAGGTGTCAGTGCAGAGGGAGCACCCGGGCCAGCCGGCCTCCAGCGCCCACAGGCTGGTGCGCTTTGCCTCCCAGGGGCCATCGGGCCCCCGGCAGGGCGAGCCGCAGCTGGAGCTGCACACCCTGGACCTCGGGGAGTTCGGGTAGGTGCCAGCGGGCAGGAGTGGACTACGTGGTCCAGGCCCTCGACCCCCAGGACTAGCTGGGCGGGTGGGTGCAGACAGCTCAGGATGCCACCCGTTCCCCACTGCGCGTCAGTTTTTAATAGTGGAAATTCACTTTATTCAATCATTTTATTGAAAAACACCTTCGGATATTTTCAATGGGTTTCTGTGTTGTCATCAACACATACATTGTTCTAATCATCTATTTTAGTTTTACCCTTTCTCTTAATTAATTCTTTGAAAAATATTAGCGTGAGCTGTTACTAAGTCGAACAGCTTTCATCCAGGATCCGTGAATTCTTTCTTTAGGGAACATGTAACAGGACTTTGGAATCATACGGCCCGGGTTCCTGCCTTCTACTGGCTGCAGGGCCTCTGGCATGTCACTTCACGGCTCTGGGTCTCAGTGTCCTCACGTGTAATAGGGATAATGCTGGACCCTCAGCAAGGTTCATGGCAGGATAAATGCAGGTGCCATCTGAGATAACATATGTGAAGTGCATGCTCCAGTGGCTGGCATATGAGGGAACCTTTAGTAAACAGCAGTTGGTTCATGTTTTGGATGTTTATTCATTCACCATTTATCACACATATCCAGCTTTTTTAATGTCATGAGAGATGGTCATACATCTTCCTCCCAGATGGCACCCCCCCAAGGTCCTCCCTGCGTCCCCTGACCCCAGCTCCCCCAGCTGACCTCTGACTCCATCTCTCCTCGCCCCCCACAGAGCTCAGGGCAACTGTGACCCCAAGGTGCCAGTGAGTGAGGGCACCCGCTGCTGCCGCCAGGAGATGTACATTGACCTGCAGGGCATGAAGTGGGCTGAGAACTGGGTCCTGGAGCCCCCAGGCTTCCTGGCCTACGAGTGTGTGGGCACCTGCCAGCAGCCCCCAGAGGCCCTGACCTCCAAGTGGCCACTTCTGGGGCCAAGACAGTGCATTGCCTCAGAGACGACCTCGCTGCCCATGATTGTCAGTGTCAAGGAAGGAGGCAGGCGCCAGCTGCGGGTGGTCAGCCTGCCCAACATGAGGGTGCAGAAGTGCAGCTGCGCCTCGGACGGGGCGCCCGTGCCAAGGAAGCTGGAGCCATAGGTGCTGGGCAGGGCCACTGAAGCCTCTGACTAAACACGTGCACCAAAGCAGGTCTAAGTTAGGTTGTAGTTTTCCACTTAGCAAGTTTTCCCTACCCCGACTAGGGTCCATATTTTACCTTTCCAAGTGTTTCTTGTCCTTCTGTCCATCACCCTAAGCACTTACATGAGTGACTAATGCCCCTCGGTTGCTGAATTGAAATCCTGGTGTACTTGTTAGCTAGTGCAGCTGAACATGGATAGATTGTCTGCTGGGAGCTTCTGTTCTCTGGCAAATTCTCAGCTGAGTCTGGGACAACATACCCCATCATAAGGGCTGGGGAGATCAAACTCCTTTACTCTACTACATAATGAATTAAAACAAAACCCTAAAATCCCTCGTTTCCTCTCAATAGGGAGGGTGTCCAGAAATGAAGCCCCATCTCCCACTCGTTGACTCAGTTCAAACCCTGAGAGGGTGCTGAGGGAAGAGGCATGGATTCAGGCCAGGGCCAGCGGCCAGGGAATCAGGACAGCTGGTTCCTGAATCTACCAGGGTGACAAGCTGTGACCTCATGCAAACATAGAAGCCTTTGAGCCACCCTAGCAGTCCTTGTGAAAAAGGGAAGCTGGGTCTCAGCTCTAAGACGTCCTGGCATCCGACAGGCCTAACCTCACCCTCTCAGCCCTGAGGCCAAACACTTCCTGTGCCTATTTAGTTACTTCTCCCCCTGCTTTAGAGAACGGATCACCAGTTAATACCCGTATTTAGCTACCATGTATTTAGTTTTTTATTATTATTTAGCAAAAACACCCCAATTGAGTGTAGATAATCTGCTGAAATAAAAGTGGTCTCACTCTTGTGTCTCCGTATTTAAATTTCTAGTATTTAATAATCCTTGTATTTAAGCATCCTTGACATAGGAGGCGGGCGCACATCCCCTGCCCGGCCTCGGATTGGCCCTCACCGAGCTCCCGGCCGTGGATTGGCTGTCTTGGCGGGGCGGGGCCACGTGGGCCCCGCCGCAAGGTCCGTGAGCGTGTGCGGAGGGGTGGGCGGATCCGAGTCGGAAGCTGCAGGAAGCAGCGGGGATCCAGCTTCCGCGGCGCTCTCACTGGCGGCAGGGTCTTCTCTCGCTCCGCCTTCTGCTGTACCTCCCGGACTGCGGCGAGCGGGTTCCTGAGGCTGCCGGGTAGACGCCGAGCCCAGGACGATGAGCGTGGGCTTCATTGGCGCGGGCCAGCTGGCCAGTGCCCTGGCGCGGGGCTTCACGGCCGCAGGTGAGCGCGTGGTGGCGGGAGACCGATGCGCGGGCGGCCTGTTAAGCAGCAATAGCCTTATGTCAGTGTAAGGGAACGAGGGGGAGAGGGAGGTCGGCACGGTGAGCACGGCGGGCTTTGATTCTGCTTTCCCAGGGAAAGTGTGGGGATGGGGTGGGCCGTGATCCCCAGTTGAAAAGCCCTGTCTGCTGTAGGCGTCCTGTCGGCTCACAAGATCATAGCCAGCTCCCCGGAAATGGACCTGCCCACGGTGTGCACGCTCAGGGTAGGTGGGACAGAGGGGTGTGGGGAAGAGGGTGGGTCGGGGGCCCAGGAGGAAGGCATGGACCCCTGAGCTGGTCATCAGCCAGCTGACCCTCCTCACTGTCCTGAGCATTAGAATCCCCCACCTTCCCTGACCAACCAGCTGGGGTTCAAATCCAGGCTCTGGCTGGTTAGAGTAATTGAGGCTCAGTACCTTAAGGACACACAGACAGTTCACGAAGACAAAGGAGTGTTTACTGGGTACCTACTATGTGTCGGGCGCTTTCCACACATACTACCTCAGTCTCCTCATTTATAAAATGGAGGCCACAGTATCCTCTTTGCTGAGTTACTCTGAGGCATGAGTGAGTGTGCAGGTTAGCTGTTCCTCTCTCCAAAAGAGAATATCGAATATCCCAAGTCTTCACCTAAACCTGGGCTGCGTGGGAGGGCATGTCTCATGAGGCAGATGCCAGGCAGTGTCTGTGCCTAGGACAGCTGATGTTCCCAGCCCTGCAGGGCCCTGCTTCTCAGCTTGGAGCCTCATGGGGACTGGTGTGCTTCAGCGGTCCCTGGACCACGTGGAGACCACACAGTCTGAAGAACACGTGTCTGTGGTTGGGACAGGCCCAACCCAGCTCTGCCTCTGACCGTTGGGTGCTAGCATTTCCCTTTTCCCTTTGTCACTCTCCAGCCAAGGAGACTTCTTACCTGGCAGAGGGGTGCCTTGGGGACTAGAGGATTGGTGGGGGTGTGGGACAGCCATTTCCTGGTTGCCACGGAGAAGCTTGTCCCTGGTGCTCACTTGCCCAGTAGCAACACTGGAAAACCTGTGCCAGCAGGGTAGGGGCACAAGGCAGGGAATTTCAGGCTGCAGGGAGCGGAGTAGGCTTGGCAGGGGTCCAGCTGCTCCGTGGGAGGGTCTGCACCGGGTGAGGCTGTGAGCTGGGTGGTTCTCTTCCGCAGAAGTTGGGGGTGAGCCTGACCCGGAGCAACAAGGAGGTGGTGAGGCACAGCGACGTCCTGTTCCTGGCCGTGAAGCCACACATCATCCCCTTCATCCTGGACGAGATCGGGCCTGACGTCCAGGCCAGGCACATCGTGGTGTCCTGTGCAGCTGGTGTCACCATCAGCTCTGTGGAGAAGGTGCCTGTCTCAGCTCTGGCACCCCAGCGTGAGGGAAGGGGTGGGTGCTAGTGGGATCCGCACCCTGGCCACTCACCTGCCCTCCTCCTTGCTCCAGAAGCTGCTGGCATTCCAGCCGGCCCCCAAGGTGATCCGCTGCATGACCAACACTCCCGTGGTGGTGCGGGAGGGGGCCACGGTGTACGCCACAGGCACCCACGCCCTGGTGGAGGACGGGCAGCTGCTGGAGCAGCTCATGGCCAGCGTGGGCTTCTGCGCCGAGGTGGAGGAGGACCTGATCGACGCCGTCACCGGGCTCAGCGGCAGCGGGCCTGCCTATGTGAGGCCCTCATATACTTACTCAGCCATCCGGGGACCCAGGGGAGCAAGATGGGATGGCAGGCAGGTGGGCTGCGGGTGCTGCCCACCTCTTGGGTGCAGCTGGCTGGTGGAGGAAGCGGCTGCTTGGCACTGGCTCGTCGTCAGGAAAAGCAGACCCTCGGGGCGCCCTCGAGTGTCTGCTGCCCCCAGACTCAGTGAGTGTCTCTGCAGGCGTTCATGGCCCTGGATGCGCTGGCTGATGGCGGGGTGAAGATGGGCCTGCCTCGGCGCCTGGCAGTCCGGCTGGGGGCCCAGGCCTTGCTGGTCAGTATCTTCCCTCTGCATGTTCTGGACCAGGGTATGGACTGGGGGGTCTTTTGGGTCAATGAGCTGGGGGCAGGGCTTGCTTGGGAAGCTGGAAGGAGGACTGGGGGAGCCTTTCCCAGGGTGCACCTGCACTATGTTTTGCTCCTATTCCCCTTCTGCTCTAGGGGGCTGCCAAGATGCTGCTGGACTCCGAGCAGCATCCAGGCCAGCTCAAGGACAACGTCTGCTCCCCTGGGGGGGCCACCATCCATGCCCTGCACTTCCTAGAGAGCGGGGGCTTCCGCTCCCTGCTCATCAATGCCGTCGAGGCCTCCTGCATCCGCACACGGTGGGTCTCTCTCCTCCACGCAGGGCCCCGCTTCCCAGTGGGCCCCGCTCTGGGCTGGGGCCTGTCTGGCGGAACTAGCCGTCTTTCCTTTGGTCTCATGAGCAGTGTTGGAGTCTGCTGTGTTTATAATCAGAATGTACTGGCTAATGGCTTGCAGGCTTTACCTCACTTTATTCTCGCCACAGTTCTGATGGTTGGGATAATTAGCTTTGGTTCATAGGTGAGGATGTTGAGACTCAGTTTTCTCAAGGTCGAACAGCTAATAAGGGATGGAGGCGGGATTCAACTTCAGGTCTATGACTTTAAAGCCTGTGGCCTTCCACACTCCCTCTCCCCTCCCCCACAGTGTGATCACAGGTACCAGCTAGCGCTCTGCGTCTGTGTACTGACCCATGCTTAGTTGAAGAGCACTTCCGGGGAGGTGGGGGGTGTTGGTTGGCCTTCTAACTTTGGGTGGTATCCGGTCAACAAGGGCTGGGGGTTATGTGGGCGGGGAAGACTTGAGAAGTTCTGCTACAAGGTTTAGTGCCTTCCCCTGTAAACCCCATTGGGGCTTTTGTCTCCAGAGAGCTGCAGTCCATGGCTGACCAAGAAAAGGTCTCCCCAGCTGCCCTCAAGAAGACCCTCCTGGACAGAGTGAAGCTGGAGTCCCCCGCCGTGTCCACGCTGACCCACTGCAACTCAGGGAAGCTCCTCACCAGAAACTCCGCCTTGGGAGGCAAGAAGGACTAAGGCAGCCGCTGCCCTCTGGGACCAGAGCCCTCACCTGCGGTGGCTGCGCAGGGCGAGGGCAGGCTCAGGTGGTCGTCAGACCCTGGTTATAAAACCTCCTTCAATCTGTTCAGGCCACGAAGCCCTAGTTGTCCCTGCTGTCTCAGGTTAGAAGACACTTGGAATAGGCGGTTGATGCTAGAGGCCAGAGGGAACCCTGCCCCCTCCCCCGTCAGCCCCACTTCAGGCGTGAGGGTCAGGGGAGGGCCTTCAATGCTGGTTCTCCGACCGGAGCCCACAGCAGGGTCCACTGATGCCACATCGAGGGCATGAGAGGACAAAAATGACAAGGGCACTTCCTTTGAATGGAGAGCGAGCGCCTCAGAATGGTCACAGTCCACATGCGTGAAAGGCGACTGGGCTGTGTTTCACTTTTGCTTCACAGATGCACCAGTGAGAGTTCGTCACTTTTGCTAAGTTTAGCTGCTTTAATAAAGTTTTATTTTTTATTACCCAGCTTTTCTTATGCTTCATCATAAGTCATTCTACAGAACTGGAGGTCCTGACCAGGTGCCCCTGCTTCTGTAGGCACAGAGTAGGAATGAGAGGGAAGTAGGAGCCAGGCCTTGAATGGTGAAATGGAGCTGCTCCAGCCTGGCTGTCAGGGTCAGGGTCAGGGGATTGTGTTGTAGGATGGGCCAGAGCTCGTGGCAGAGAAGAGCTAAGTGGCCTGTGAGTGCCGGCTCCTCTGACTGCCCTCCTTGGGATCCGCTGTTGTCTTGCTCACTCTGTAGAAGATGCCAAGGCCTGGAGGGGATAAGTGGGTTACCCCAATTAACTGCGGTCAGTGGCGAGTCTGTCCAAGCTGCCTCTTGGGAGGTGAGGATGGGTGCACCAGCCACACAGCCTGAGCCCATGGTTTCCCCACAGGCCCGTGTGCCTGGCGCTTGTCCCAGGGGCTCCCTGGCTGTGCTGTTGCTTCACATCAGCTCTGAGTTCAAACCTAGTTTCTACCACTTCCAGCGAGGCCGCCTTGGAGAAGCCACTGAATGTCCCTGACCTCAGGCGTCATCCCCCGGGAATCTGGAGGCCATGCTTCACATAAAGGTGCGGGTGAGTGTGGAGTGAGGTCCCGTGGGGTTGTTTGCAGAACAGCTAGAGCATGGGACACCCCTCGCCCTTCACCCTTCCACTGAGGAGGGAGCAGAACCTTCTCTTCTCCCAGGGTCCAGGCACCCCTGGCTCCAATTCCAGGCCTGTGAGCCCACAGGGAGGGCCCCTTCCTGTGGGGCCAGGGTGACAACGGTGTTAAAAGCTATCATTATGAAGTCCCCGGTCTATGGCGGGCCCTTGGCAGGTCTCTTATATAAGATCTCATGGCCTTAGGAGCTAGGTATAATTTAAGACTAAGGTAAAGTTCAAAGAGGTTGAATAATTTGCCCAAAAAGATTCAAATGGATATTTCACCAAAGAAGATACACAAATGGCAAGTGAACATGTGAA